TAGTTTATATGTATTCAATCCATGTTTAAATTCCTGATTTAGAATTTCAAACCAAATTTCTTCGCTCTGACCACTTATTGGGGAGGTTACAAAGGCCAGTGGATATTTGTCGGAGAGCACAACTTTTCATTTCTACATTTGGGAGGGCAATAAAAGAGCATCAAGCAAATGTTGGTGAGCATTTCTTGGAATCATGGATTTATTCATCATGTATGAGTGTGGTCAGTGAATGCGAAGAACTGGCCCCATTAACTTCCTTGGATGAATCTACTTCGAGTGCATTCAATGCTGCTAAAGGAGAACTATTGGATTTGGCTAGGAAGCAGGTAACATTTTATTGTTTTGGAATACTATTACATATGTATACTTTTTTCTTTAATTTACTTTATTTATTATAGCTTGATAAGTTAGGCATTCATTATGGCCATTTACCTGCCGCACTTCCATTTACTACCGCTTTAGATGAAGTATCACTTCCAACATCTCCAGCTTCTCCATCTTCAGAGAGTGAACCAAAAAAAAAATTCTCGATAACCAATGAGGAACTGAAGGGAGCTATTGAATCAGAAGATTCCGCTGCTTTTGATTTATTGTACTTAGTAAGTTATTCTTTACATAAATATATGCATATATATAAAAGGGTCTTTATGATGGTCCCGTATAATGAAAATTCAATGCGATATAACAGCAATTGACAAACAGAGGCCTTAAAGCTTATGAAGGGACTCGACTCCGCAGTTCATATCGTCTGCAGGGTGATGTCGCTGCCTTACAATTGTAAGTTCCTTCCCAGTTATATTTCTAAATTTGGTATACTTTGTATATTAATTTCTTGTTATAAACAGTCACCGCAAAAATTTTGAGAGTGCATCACAACTGATGGAAGATTTACCATGTGCTTATGGTGAACAAGGGTGGACTGTTGTTGAAAATAGTCTTTTATTCAAGTATGCTGAATGCCAGAAAGAATTGGGTCGAACTAAGCAATATCCTTTAACATTTATGAAGATACTTCCTAAATTTTCTCCTTTTTTATATGCAACCAAATCCTTAATATATTTAACACATATGTATTATCATGTTTATCACTGTTGAAGAATCATACTTTATTATCTGAAGAAGAAGCTATTTTTTATATGGAAGAAGTGAACAAATTGTGTGGATCTCTTGAAAAAGACGAAGGTAGAGATCAAACATATATATTCCATGAATATTCAATTCATTATTATTTTTTAACGTTAAACCGTTGGAAATATTTGTAGATATTGTTAGGCCCTTTAAACCAATGTTTCTAGTCACAGTAACAGATGTAGTCGACGATATAACAGATGCAGATGGGCCATATTTGGCGGTTGAATTGACAAATTACTTGCCAACAGTTATTATCTACTCTATAATTTTTAACAATCTACACGTTTTTATATTGGCAAACATTCATAAAATCTTTTAATATTGATAGTCATTAACATTCGATCAACTTGCCATTCGTTTGGTAAGTGGTCAGAGCGAAGAAATTTGGTTTGAAATTCTAAATCAGGAATTTAAACATGGATTGAATACATATAAACTA